AGAAATACCAATTTTGATGCCTACATGAGCATCAACACTACAAATAATTATTCCAACAGCCTCTATGCAGTGCAAATAAGGCCTCAGAACACTAAGTTGGCTAAAGTAGTTTTAAAAGGGTTATCATGTGGCAGCTGAGACAGGCTGAATAATTATGAGCCTCTCACCACACTACAGGAAAAAAAAAAAAAAAAAGTATGCTATTTTAAATGTCTTTCAGTGAGTGAGAACCACAATTAGCTATACAACTCAGCTAACCAAGCCATAGTAGTTCACTCATGCATATGAAGTTGTTCACTTCTAACAATTTAACAGCATTAGAATCAGGAAGAGAGTTTGCTCTGATGCAAGTAAAAGTTTATCCTAACCATTTTAATTAAATTTGATAATTCTTCTAGAAACGTGGTACATCACAATATATATATAGCTTGATTTAAAGACAAATGATAAAGAAAACAAAAACAATTCTAAATAAACTGTTCTAATATTTTTGTGCTGAATTAACCACATAAACACATTTATATTACTAATACTATATTTTTATGCAGTATTTTTAATGAGCTATTTTCTTCCATAAATTATTATTATTATTTTAACTTCAAAGCTTTTCCTTTTTCTTCATGATATTTTGACTTGTCACCCAATTGGTTTTGACACAGACAGCTACTTTGTGGTTACTCAATGCGTGACATTACAGCTATGACAACATGACTGCTCATGTTGCAGTTCAGTTTCTTCAGTTTTTCAGTTCCACTTTAAGTCTCTTCTTTTATCTGAAGATTAAGTCTTTTGTGGAGTTACGATTTTCATCTTGACTAGGAACTCTAGATATAAGAACCATTAATTCAAAGGGATACTCCTAAAACTTAGTATATTTTTGTAACAATTCTAAAAAATTTACACAATGGGTAGATATGGAAAGATCACATGTAACCTGTTCCACAGTTCTCTGCCTGACTTCTACTGGGCTCTGTAGTTAAGGAACAAACACTGTTTCAAGAAACTAATTTTAACATCCTTGCATTCAAAACCATACTTCTGTTGTCTCTTCATTGATTTATCTTGCTTACTTACATTATAAACCAGTTTTTTAGATATATTCATTATAAGACAGACCTTGTAGAACAAAAAATGGCACACATTCCTCCCCACCTAAACACGCACCCCACAGGAGCACTCAAGCCTCCGCTGCTGCAGACTGAGGCTTCTCAAGACAAACACCCCATTGAGAGATTGTCAAAATACCACAAGACTGCATCCATGGATAAGCAAAAAGTCAAAAAAACATCAGTGCAGAAACACAAATCATTTCCTCGGCCCTTAGTCATTACAAATCTTTGCATTGCTTAGAGGAAAACAGGGTAATTATTTTCCTATACTAGTAATGACTGCTGCACCTGTTTTACCTTAATCCCACATTATTGCCTCTCTCTAATGTCAGAGCACCAAAGTCTCAGCATATAAAACAAAGATCAGTGAGAAAACAAGTATAATTACAGAACTTGAATTTAGTGCTGCAGACTTGGGACAACTTTCCTGGAACACCTGGGCCTGCGCTAAGAAGGAAACACAGAAAAGTATTTAAAATATAAGAAAAGAGCAACCTATGCACTGTGCTTTCTTTTCAAAGTGTTTTGAGCTGCTTAGAATTTGCCTCTGACATTTAGGCAACCTAATGGGGCAGTCTCTGCTCCCGCATGTAGCTGTGCATTCTTCTGTGCTGCGGCAGAAGGATTTCTTAAAGTTTTTAAAGCTAAAGAGCTGTCATATTAGCAAAACATATATATAAACAATATTTTCTCTGAGCAGACCACCACTGCTGTAGCTTCTTTATTCCTATGCAGTATATTATCTCAAATACAACTATTTATTTTAAATGGAATTTCTTTTTCAAAGTAACAACACTAAACAACACTAAAAAGCTAAATTATCAAATAATAAAAATTGCTTTTTTTTTTTTCTCCGCATGGTCATACAGCATTCAAAACGAAATAATTCATTCTCTCTCACATATTTGGTTCTGTCATTATATCATAACGTTACCCAGAAATAAAGTGAAATATTTTAAACAATACTAATAGGCCCATAGGCATCACTGTCTATATTTTGTTTGTTTGTTTGTTTGTTTGTTTGTTTTTTTTGGGGGGGGAGGTATGATAATATGCAAAAAAAGAAGACTTTTACATGAACTTGACAATTTGTTGCTATAATAGAGAAAAGATTTTTGCAGGGCCATAAACCTCGTGCTTCAGGGTACATGTTTTCTATCACCTGTCACCTAATGTAAGAGAAAGGACATGAGACCAGCCAGACCCACGTGGCTAACCCAGTGTAACAGTCCCAAGGCTTTTTTGTTTCTGACCTGACAATAGTAGCATTAAACATTCGTGCTTTTCATTTCTAACCAAAATGCCAATATAAGCATCTGCTGCGGTGGTAGCTTTTTAATTTATTCTGTTTTGCTTTTTGTGCACACTTCCGCACAAGGGGCTCTACATTCACAGCTACTTTCATGAAAGCCACCGCATGGGTATCAGATAAAAATAATTTGGAGCCCTCCATCAGTGCAGCTGGGAACCGAATTATATCCATCACGCTTTACCAGCAAGTGTTATCCTATTATCAATTCCCTACGTGATCTTTCCATGGTCCGAAGACGAGTGCTCGAAACAAACATCCAAACACTCCCGCGGGGCTCGCGCGCTCTCCGCAGATCTGGCAGCGCGGGAGCCGGGCACGACGCAGAGGCAGCGCTGCGCGCGGGCGCCACATTGACCCAGGAGCACTTCGTCCTCGCTC